TGGAAGGTCATCCATGCAATGGACACTGTGCTAAACATTTCACATACATTCCTTAGTCACAATCAAGTACACAACCACCACCACCATCTTGTGGTAGTTTCTAAAGGTTTAGAGAAAAGATGCATTTTTTTTCAAGATCCCCCAAAATAATAAATGTCAAAGTCAAGATTCAAACCCAGGGCTGGGGATGTGGCTTAAGCGGTAGCGCGCTCGCCTGGCATGCTTGCGGCCCGGGTTCGATCCTCAGCACCACATACAAACAAAGATGTTGTGTCCACCGAAAACGAAAAAATAAATATTAAAAAATTCTCTCTCTCTCTCTCTTAAAAAAAAAAGATTCAAACCAGAACTCCCAAGACCATATTCTGAAGTACCCTTATGCCTAGATTAATATTCTCTTCCTTTAAAAGCTGCTGTTAATCCTTTTCAATCCCTGGCTACTCCATTAACTTAAGCAATTTAGACCTTTTCCCCCTTGACCTGACAATTAGCTGTCAAAAACTGGAAAGTACCCAGGACTACTTTGGGTATCATAGATCCTCCCCAGTCCCAGGCTTGTCCTGACAGGAACAAGTTTTATCCCTGCCCGGCAATCCCTTTCTGACTAGCAGGTCTGTATTAATCTTTTAATAATAATATATGACTATTACTAATATTGATTCTTTTGTAATTTAAAAATTTCGTCAAATATATTTTTATCACACAGTTATAATAGTGATGATTTCAGAATTTGGYCATTAGTAGAGCTTTCTCAAACACTCTCCACTACAAATACTCAATAAAACCTGGAAGTGTGGGCTTCTTGGCAGATCTTCTCCACCCCCGACAAAAGGGGAGAATTGATACCGTAGCTTTCCTTAAACTCCACTAAGACACCAGTTTTTCAAAATGAATTTCCCTCACTTGTCTCTCTATCTGTTCTTCAAGACAGGCTTACCACTTACCGGCTGAGCACTGAAAAGTTGATTTTCTTGCCTGACTGATCCTCTGCCCCGGAACCCTGAATTCTTTCCCTGTTACTATCCTTTATAATCCTTGAATTTAAACATTTTATGACAGTAGGGTCAAATAAATTAGATAAGTTGAGTTCAAAGTCTGTCTCTCTTTATGGATGCTTAGCGAAGACAGTAAKTGGAAAAGACATCTTCTTAAGATCTAAGTTCTTCTGTGTACCTAGGTTTCTAGGTGGGGCAGGATATTGCTAACACGGGTGTATTGTTTCAAGGAAGCCTGAACTTGTGCAAAAGTTTGTAGCACATCTTGCCGAACTCATAATCAAGTGGGATGACTATGCTTTGACAATCTGATAGCCTGGGGRTTGTGATGGGACAAGTCCTAGGAGAGGTTTGACTTTTGCAACAGACAAYATACTGGAAAATTCCACAGAACTTAAATAATGTTGGAAAAATATTACTTACCTGGGTAACCTGGGCACAATGTATAAGCTGTGCCAAGCCAAGGATAGTTTTAGCTCCTGAGGCTTTCACCTGATTGGGGAATCCTTACATTATATTTTTAAGAATTAAGCTCCTGAGGCTTTCACCTGATTGGGGAATCCTTACATTATATTTTTAAGAATTAGTAATTGGGGATAACTTATTTTGCTGATAAAAATACATATGTTTGTGATATTATTACCAATGCAAATATAATCTGCCAAATACTATTATTTCCATTTATTAAAAAATAGAAGAATATTTATGTTTATTCACACATTTTAATACATTAGAAAAGCGCACCAGAGATCTGATTCTTACTAGCTGTAAGACTTCAAAAAGTTATGAGCTTCTCTATGAGCTTCAGCTTCATCAATACAATGGTGATAATAATAGTTCCCTCCCTACAGAGTCACTGTGAGGAGTAAATGAAATGGAACATGTAAAACYGCTTCACAATAAGCTCTTATTAAGTAGTAACTATTTATTATTATTATTAATATTATKATGATAGGCGGGTAGGGCATAATAAACAAGCACAGCCTCACTATGACATTGCTCAAGTAAGGATTATCACTGAGAGCAACTCTTGTTGGCTGGGGCCAAGCTCCCATTAAAGCAGRTATTGAGTTTGCTTCTCTATAGATCCAAGAGCAGTGTGTTTTATTATTGTCATTTAAAAATGAATTTGGCAKGCTGGGGTCTGGGGCTCAGTGGTAGCACACTTGTCTGGCATGTGTGAGGYACTGGGTTCCTTTCTCTGCACCACGTATGAATAAATAAATGAAGGACTATCAACAACTTAAAAAATATTTTTTAAAAAATGAATTTGGCCATGGACAGATGTCTTTGTTCTTGSTTCCTCCAAAGCAGAACCTGAGACAAAGCTTTGGGTGCAGATAGTATATTTARAGGTGATCTCAGGAAGCATAGTAAGTAAGAAGATAGAGAAGGGAGRAAAACTAATAAAGGATGTGTTAATGAACAAATTAGTGCTGTCAGCGATTCTCAATATGGAGCCTTTGACGTGTTCTGTAGAACACATCTCAYGATGGAAGGGAGCTTGGGTATTTATCCAACAACTTCTTTCTAGCCTYGGGGTGTTGACTCCCCAGCACCTTCAGCTTGCCCTCTGAGGGACAGGGTACTCTCTCAAGCCAGAACCAAGAATGCTAGAAAAAGACACAGGAAATTACTTATTATATGAGAATTGTTCACAGGTAACCTCTGTGTAGGCCAAGGGGGTGTGGGTAGGTTATCAACAACAACTTCTACAACCGGATATTAGATGATATAATGGTTAAGTATTTGTAGGTGTAATAATGTTATTGAAGTTATTTAGGAGAATGTCCTAATTCTCAGGAGATGCCTGCTAAAATATTTAGGGGTTAAGTGTCATGATGAGTACTATTGACTTTGAAATGACCTAGCAAAACTGGGAGTGGGRATCTWGCTCAGTGGTAGACCTTGTGCATACACAAGGCCCTGGGTTCTATCTCTAGCATCTATAAATAAATWAATTAATTAATGCATATGCATACACAAAATAAGTATAACAAATGTTAACTAACATTTACTGAATCCAGAAAGGAGTATCTAGATCTTTGTTGTACTAGTCTTTCAACTCTTCTGAATGTTTGATATTTTTTATAATTAAAATGTTGGGGAAATGTATTTAGCAGATATTTAATGAGTATCTACTATGTGCCAACTATTCTAAGTATTGGGGATACCAGTCTCATTAAAACCAATATGGTGGCTTTGTTTTAGATTAGGAAACGGGTTTCTTAAGTCACTCTATTGCCATCTGTGGAAAATTATAAAAACTCTACCAAGCTATGATAAGTGGTGTTCACTGTTATCCACAACATTAAGTAAATACTATGAGAAATAGATGAGGAAAGCAAAACTCTGGAACTTCAATGGTCTTATATTCTAGAATGGAAAGTCACTAAAATGATCCTGGAGTACCTTATAGAGTACCCTCAGTTGCTGAGGAAGAATTTCCAATAAGAAAAATGGTAGCATGGCGCCCCTTTTGGAGAACCAAAGAAATGATATTACTGTCCAAGGTCATATACATTCCTGGAACATTCCTCTTTCCTATAGCTGACAGAAGGGAGAAATTATTTTTTCCACAATTAGCTAAGCCTAGTAGTTAAYCATTAAGCCCAAGTAATTTGGCTGGTTTGAATATTAATAAAGTTCAGGGCTGGGGTGTAACTCAGTGGC